GGGTTGTATGGCTGGATGGCTGGAATGACGGCTGTCGATGCATCATCAGGGCTCAAGTATCTGAACTCCCCGACTCCGGCATCAATTATGCTACGAATTTCTTTATTACAATTATCTCGTTGTGCTCTCGAGCCTTCGTTCGCATTGTTTTCCTACCATCATCATTGCACTCATGTGTGGAGGGCTCTTCACTCTTTATTTTTTCTCCTTTCCTTATTTTTTTTTTATAATTTTTTTTTGATGAGCAACTGATACGGCAGTCCATGGGAAATTGGTTTTAATTTTGCAACTTGACGAGGCAGGCACTTGTCGTGGCACCGACTCCCCTTCTTCTCCTCTCGAGTTTCCTCCGATGTCAATGTCTCGGTTCTCATTTTCAGGTGAGCTCGATTTAATGAATGAAGATTACAGGGACCGTGCGTTGGCTCAGATTTATGCGTAATGATATTCAAACAGGTTATTTATTGACTTAAGCCTTAAGACTTTGGCTTCGGCTGACTCTATTTGCTTTCCTCGGCAGCAACTGGATAATTAAAGCATCAAATGCAGACAAGCCAGTTCCATGCGGATATATCCAATGGGATAATAATGTTGCAATTCTTATGAGGCTCTGAATAAATGCTCTAAAATCAGCAGGGAAACTAAATTATTGGATGTTAATAAAATTGGTTTTAATTTTTTATGGGTATAGTAATTTGATTTGCTTGATCAATGTTTAATTAATTATACAAAAATTATATTTACAAAATGTTAGTTCCTAAATTTTAGATTTTTACAGATATTAAAAAAAAATCAACTGAAATTTGGGAAATATCTTGGCTCCTTTATAACGTTTAATGGTAAATAAAGGACCTTGTACAGTAACTGTAATATTTTTTATTAGTATTATTAATTTTTTTAAATATGAATATACCCTGAGTTAAGGGGTATCAACAATGACCAAGCCCGATGCAGAGATAGAACACATAAGCGCCGTCACACTTGAGCAGCACAACCAGAGTACCAAGACAATCGGACAGACGGAGATCTCAACAGGAGACGAACGACGAGCAGGTGTTCCAACTTATTCATTAAAAACAAAAAGGAAACAGACAGGGACAGGCAGGAGCAAACGGAAGGGGGGGTGAAGTGGGGACGGAACCTGGGCCAACACCCAGTGCCAGTTTCAGTTAAAGTCTCAAGTTCTCACTGAGGAGAAACCTGACAGCTTAATCTAGTTCTTAACAATGTTGTGCCATTCAAAATGTTGGAATTATTTATGGGCTTCTTTAGTACTCCAACAAAAAAAATCATATGAAAATAAATGTAATAAAATTGGAAATAATTTAGAAGTAAAGATCAACATTTTACACATTATTCTGATATTTTGTGAAGTGTACTCCCTGTTGTCTCAAAGTTTTTCGCCTCCTTCGGCTGGTTAAGATTGTGGTCGACACGCAATTGCGGCAATTTGAAGTTGGATGCGCTCACCTCGCTCTGCGGGGCCAACCATGCGAAGCAAAAGCCAAGCTAAACGCTTAGAAGCCCCCTTTTGCCCAGTTACCAATCCCCAGGTACACACATCCGCCACAGTCCATCCTGCCAAGTTTCTTGCGGCAGCGGCAACGGCAACGGCAGCGACAACTGGCAACCTGCAACTTGCGACTGGCAACGAGCAACTCCCAACCAACGACAGCACTGAGAACAATAACAAAGTTTATTTTTTGTTGAAAATTATATTTAATTCTTAAAATAAAAATGATATTTTCAACTGTAACTCCTTTATCGTAAGATAAATTTCATTTTTCTTATTCTGAATTAAATAACTCGATACTTTTTAACATCCCTTAGGGCTCAGCCATGTTTTTTGACGTGTGTCAACTGGCAAGTTCAACTGGCTGAATCGACTGAAACCGAAGCCGGTTTCGGGTGTGTTAACTTTCTATGCCCGGTAGCGCTGATTGCCAAGACAACGACAGCCCAATTCATTCAGCGGTCTCGCCTTTCAGCGGCAGCAGCTGCTCGAGATTCCTTTAAGCCACTTCCTCCCCTTTGTTCACCGCTTTTGTGCTCTTGGCCAACAGTTTTGCATGGCCAGAATCTCTGCAGGCGTTTCCAGTTCGATTTATCACGAACAAAGTTATGATCGCTTAAGTGCCGCCGTTTATGATTCCAGTTTTAGCCTCTTCAATTGCTCCTCATAAATTTTTCCCATGACAACACTAATTGCGGTTTGCTGGCATTAATAACAGGTTGGGTATAATTTTAGCTACTTATTCTGCAATAAATCCAATTGGCTTAAAAAGATCTTGATTCCCTTATCGATGAATATTTTAAATAATTTGAATTAAATGAATTCCTTTATTGTAGATAGAGTATAAAAGTTATACTGCTAAATAAACCTTTGTTCCATCTAGGAATTTTAGATTTGTACTTCGAATTTAGTATTCTGAAATCATAAAGAAACCTCAAGAGGTTTTCATAAATGGCGTGACCCAAGCTAATAATAAATTTCATATACATTAAATGATAGAGCTTTGAAAACATAAACTCATATTTTTTCCTGATAAAGCCTTCAATTGTTCCCCAGTTAACACTTCCATCGACCATCGAAAACATGTCATTCGATAAGCGTATTTGGCAGCCCATAATTGCTAGCAAATTAAAATTATTTATTCAACAAAACCATTTTTGATTGCCGTTCGTGCGGAGTTTGTAATTCATAATCGATGGTCGGTATGCCAGGCGTATAAAATCAAAAAAAACCACAAAATAATGTACACAAATATGTGCAGTATGAAAAGATCGTTTCCATGCTTTGGCTATGACGGAAGTCTGGCCCACCGCATAGGAACCAAGTATATATACGGAACCCCGCAACTCTTTCAAAAAGAGGCCATAAATATTGTTCATTTGTAAATAAATGGGTAACAAAAAAATAGAAAAAACTACCAGAAGTGAAAAGCCCAACAACTGGCAAAGCATATAAAACATTGTTCATGTTCATTTCCAGTACTTGGTTTTCTATTTCCTAGGCGAACATTCGATGGTGTTCATGTCGCTGTTGTGTGTCTCTACTTTTTATTACAGTATCATCTTCCGGTCACTTTGTCAGGCCCCCAGTACATTTCTCCAACAGTTACGACGGGACAAGTGGCCCCAGCGCGTGTGCCTAGTTGGGTTCGAACTTGAATTATTAAAACCAAAAGCGGACTCCAAGAAGTAATGGAAGTACCAATGACCGATAGACGGAAGTTGGATAGACAATGTCGACGCGTGGATGGTGACCATTTAGGGTCTTACACTGCAATTATGTTTCTTTATTCAGATTCTAGATAGAAATACTAAGTGATGAGTCAGTATTAATATCAACTTTAACAAAAAAGAAAAATGAAGCTGACTAAGAATTTAATGCTATTAAGATTTGAAGAGAGTATAGAATTAGTGCTTAATTTGATTTTCCAGTAACCCAATCCTTCCCAACCACGACCACCGTTGACCAACATCGCCGTCGCCACTTAAAAGCAGTTCGCGCGACTGCACACTCGGTTCAGTGGTTCTAAAAGTGCTGCCGTCCAGAGGAGAACTATTTGGCTTGGAGTGACCGGCACCCAAGCTGCCCCCTCTACTTGTAGTAATCCCCTCAACACCACCACTCCAACACCCATTCCCCAACCCATTTTCCAAAGCACCCACACACGCATCGCGTTGCGCTTTGAATATAAATTACACAAATAGTGCACACGACTTTGATGGCTGCAGCCGGCGACATTGAACACTGCACAGTGGGTCGGAAAAATCTAAAATTAATTTATTTAAAGAATATTAAAATAGATAAAATTCAGATTGTTATGAGAACTATAAGATTGAGTCGAATATCTTATTCACTAAAACAAATCTTTATCTGGAAATGTTAAATTTATTATTACTTAACTCACAATTTGTTATTTAAATATTATATCATTATTTTAGTTTTCGGTGTCTATAAATTTTTTATTTTACAACAAGTAATTTTATTAGTGTGTTTTCTATTTACTTTTTTTATTAACCAGTGAACCAGTAGAACCACTGTGACTATCGGCTGCCAGGAGCGCTGGTCATGTCACCGTCGCCCTTTGATGCTAATGACTCTGACATCGCCTTTAAACCGGCGGATCGGCCAGGAATGGGTGGCTCGGAGCTCAGAGCGCAGCGAACTTAGCGGGCAATCAAAAACCGTGCTGCAGCAAATTGGCATGCGTGATGCAGATGGATGGAGCTGCAGCTTTTCCACGGGGGGACTCCACATATTTCTGAATGGAGTTGCTCCGCGGGGGCGGGGGTATGTGGGACAAGTGATTTCCGCAACGCTTTCTGGATCGCAGAAGCGAGCCAGTGCGTTGATTGATTGATTAATTGACAAAGGAATTGCCGTTAGTTTTCCATTTGCATTTGCATATCTAATTTATGAACGGCCCAAGTCTTGTCCGCTCGAATGTAGTTCATTGTGATAGCTATGCAAATGCTGTACTTCCGCTGCGACCGACCGTCTGCACAACGCAGCTTAATTATTCATTAATTTCAACTTAAATTCCATATTTGTGGCTGCAGCCATTTGTGGCCCAGTTTCGATGGCCAGCATAGGGAGTTGTCTGTGCGCAGGCTTTTGTCACCATAAAACTGAAGTGTTGTTCGATTATGAAATAATTATAAGCATTCTGCACGTTCTAACCGGTGATTAAGGGTGTTTGCATTTGCACTTTGATTTGGCTTCAGAGTGGGGCCTATAAGTTTGATGTTTAATTACACTAAAACGCAAGCTTTTTGGAAACTTAAGATTTTATTCAATAAAACTAGTAACAAATGTGGAAAATTCTGGTACATTTCAGCAAAAAGTGTGTCAATGTTTAAAAACTTGTTGTACCATTTACACGGATTATCTGCTGACCAGTTTTATTAAATGCGTCGATGCTAATACGCAATTAACCAGTCTCGTTTAGAGCTTTGCGCATATCGGGCATCTAGTTGGCCGTTTCCATTGTGTTCTAATCCCTGTTGGAATGGGGAAGTTTTCAAGCCTCAGTGTACCAAAAATTTGCATCCAGTTAGCATCTATGTAAATTCACAAAATCTATAAAATAGGGACCACCTGCCTCCGCCATCCTCTGTCCGCCTCGACTTTGGTTCCTCGTGAAGGAGCTGCAACATGCCTTGCATATTTAATCCCGGCTACATTGGGCCCGATCCGCCTTGCTGTGACCCGGATTGCCTGGTGGAGGGGCACTGCACGGTTCCGGAGTGTGGGCTTTGTCCGGAGTACCAGCTACCCCGCTGCATTCCGGCTCCGGCGCCGAAAAAGAAGAAGCCAGAACAGACGCCACCGGAACAGAAGTCCTGCAAGGAGCAGAAAGCCCAGAAGGAGCTGCAGAAGGAGTGAAGAAAGGAGGCGGAGCAGCAAAGAGCTTGGAACAATGGTCCTTCAGTTCTTTGGAGATGTGTCGAAAGACCTCCCAAACAAACTTGCATCTATATGTTGCTGAAACACTATAAATTCCTTGTTTATGGACTTAATTAAAACCTCTTAGTGTTTATCTTATTTATGGGTGGACAATCGCAATAATTTGTTGTACATTTCTAAAAATTACAAATTAATAGAGCTTTTAGAGAGCATGATTTAGCTAATAAATAAACTTAAATAAATTCGAATATGTTTTTAATATATGTACAACCAAAACAAAAGCTTTATTTAAATGTCATTAAATCACTTTTATGGTAATCCCTGATCTGTTTAAAACCGCAGAGTTAAGACACGCATATTTTTTTTGAAAGGGAACAAACGGTTAGTTGGCAAATTCAAATTAGGATGCTTGATTTAACTGTCAAAAAACGCTTGATGATTTATTTAGTCAAAATTGAAACACAGAACGTGCTGTTTTGGTAAAATATTTATTAACACTTACATTCCAAATTTGTTTTTGAAATTTTGGGTAGGTTATCAGAGGAACCGTGACAATAATGATGTAACTTACAATTTGCAGACTCTTGTCAAGTACTCAAAATGGTCTATCTTAGCCGCCCATGGACTCCCGTCTTCAATCCATACTACATTGGCCCATATCCAAGCTGTTCTGCATGCCCCTGTAACATTGATCTTTATAAGAGATATAAGGGATCCGGTCATTGGGAGAGTCGTTGTTATCACAGCTATTGATGAGAGGACCTGCTCAAGAGTCAAGATAACCAAGAATAAAATGGAAATGACAAAAAAGTTGCAGAACATTTTACCAATTTATTATGTATACAAACACAGAAATACTACTGATTTATGTCGACAAAATGAATCCAATTAATACTAAAAAAAACATAAGCCATAATTCACAACAATTTTTATTGCGTTTTGTTTATTTTATTGAATGGTGTAAACCGAAAAAATCCGAAACATGTCAAAATCTGTGTAACAAAAAATAATTTCCCAAATTCCAAATTCGAAGACAGATCTCTTTTTTGTTTAACCTCTCCTGATGGCCGCGTCTGTGGATCACGTGGTGCACAATGTGCTGGCCCCGATGGCGATCAATGTCCTCGATTGCATAGTGCCAGTTCTCCGGCAAGTTGTGATTTCGATTCATGAGTTCTTTTTGGCGGATCACCGGGAACCGGAGCCAGTGATCGATGTGTCCCGCTTGATCCCTTCAGCGGTTCGATTGGTGCTAATGGTCAACGATTCAGGGCCGGAAATAAGTTCCGATCGGGAAACGGTGGTCAATCCGGATGCGCTTAGTGGTCTACTGAGTGATATCTCCCAGAGCATTCGGAATCTAGCCCGCTCCACCTACGATACCATGTCGGCACTGGGCGAATAGCTATGGAGTAGCCCCAGCGATAGATGTCAGCCCGGTCAAACAAGTAATCCCACATCGGTCCTCCTGATCCTCCAGAAGATCCCGCAGCCATGGAACGGGTGCACACGGCCATCGGAGTGACGTGCATAGTGGCCTTGGTCTTGGTGGTGACCCGTAAGGTGGGCCAGGTGGGTGGCATGGTGCTGGCCGAGTCCCGTGCCCCGATCTCTGACCTTGTGACCCGCGGCGGTCCAGTGGCGGATCAGCTGACGGCGGTCGAGGGAGAAACCCCGCTGGTGGAGGGGGATCGCATGGACGGCGCCTGCTCCGTGGTGCAAAAGGTCGGAGGCAAGGTGTGTGCCCTGGTGGGGCCTCTGCTGCCCAGACTCGGAAGTGATCGAAATTCCGGGGACTCCACGAAGGAGGAGGGGCAGGATAAGCAGGAAAAGGCACCGGAAAAGGAAGCCAAACCTGAACCGGAAGCACCGCCTGCACCGGATCCGCCGGAGGAGGAGGCGGCAGAGTAGATCCAGCTGGCAAAGGGAATGGGACTTCGGATGTGGAACTCCCTTCCTATTTATTTTCAAATTTTAAGTAGGCCTTGGATATTTAACTTTATTTTTTTGTCGGCTTTGTCAAATTCGAAACCTAGAGAGCTCATTCATTTTTAACAGCTCGGACTGATCACACCTCTTTCGTTAAATAAAAAATAATATGAAAATTTGAAAAAAAATTTTAAATTCATAGCCAAGGACTCCAACGTATTTCTTCGGCAGTAAAAAATTCCAAGTAATTTTTGTGGAACTTGTGCTTATTTTAAATGTGTTTTAACAAATTGAAACCTTTTTTCGGCCCTTGACAGCTGTGGCATTTGCGCTCCAGCTGCTGATTCTAGAAGAGATTCGCGAGTGTCCCGAAGCAACTAGAAATCTTTCAAGATGGTTCTGATGCTCTGCTGCAGCTTCGATCCCTTCTACGTCGGTCCCTGCCCGCCCGGCTGCCTGGCTCCTCTGGGTGGCGGTTGCTGCGGTCCTAGCTGCGGTCCCTGCTGCAGTCCTTGCTGCGGTTGTGGTCCTTGTGGTGGTTGCAGCTCGTGTCCCTGCGGCTGGTGAAGCGCTTATGAAGGATGGTGGTGGAGATTAAGGTCTCTGATCATTGGTAAGTTAAAAGCTAAATCGCAGCTATTAGTATTTGAGAATAGAAATGGTAGTTCTTTTAAATCCATTTGTTTGTATATATTAAATTTTATTTACTTTTTTATGTTTACCTTTAGCATTCCACCTGCTGAAGAAATATGTTGCTGTGCGGAATCCTTTCCTTGGCTGGTCCTCTAAAATCTGAGCTCCATAACAACGTATTTTTTTAAAAACTGCTGTTCAAAAATAAATGAATTAAGCTAAAATAACACCATGTGCTTTAAATACATCTGTTTTAAATAACAGAATTTTAATTACCTCTTGTTATTTTTCAGAAAATAGTAAAAAAAAAATGATATTTTATAACTTGAGCGAATAAACAAGGCGGTAGGAGGATTATGGCAATGTAAACATCGGTGGCCAGCCTCCAGTCATTTGGTGTTTGGGCTGCAAGGACCTAACGCCCTCACGGATGCACATGTTGTCCTAGGTAAAGGACTCGTCTAGAACAGCTGTTTCGCCCCAAGGATAACTGCGCAGTCGCGTTTCCAACTCGAACTCGAACCTAAAACATAGAATGTAGAGCATTGTGCCAGGTCAGAGATTTATTTCGGGGATTGTGCCACCCTTCTATTCCCTATTTCATCCGAAACCGAAACTGAAATCTGATGCCTGATACTATGTTTTGTTTTGGCTAAGCGCGATTTATGGCGCCGTGACTGAGGTGTCCCTGTGTGTGCGTTGTGCCTCCTTGAGGTTTACCGAGAGGGGTGTGTTTCCTCCGAATCTCAGTGTGTGTGTGTGTGTGCTCGACCATTTCACTCTCATTTTGGCATCGCTTGCGTTGCTTTTCCCGCGGAATTTATTGCGGTAGGTCGGAATTTTCATTGCTTTGCCACGGTCCCTCCTCCTGAAGGTTGCTTTTTTCCTTCCTTCCTTTTTTCCTAGTTTTTCCTGGGTTTCCTGCGCGTATGAGTGTGTGGCTTTGTGCCATGTTTTATGGCCAAAGTTTCCTGACTTCTTATATTTGACTTTTAGTTTTTGAGCTGAAACTTTTCGACTGCATTGTCGTTCCCCTGAGAATGTTGCACTTGGGATAAGTTCCTTTCGTTTTATATTGTTGTGATAAAGCAACAGTTTCTACCAGGTGTCACCCTGAACTTTATACATTTAGCTGCACAATTTAGCTTTGCCAACTACAATATTTTTGGACTTTTGTCGTAAGCATAAACAGGTTAAAACACCAGCATCAAACTATTTACTAAATATTTAGGAAGTATAAAATGGTTCTATTGTAACAAATATTATGTATATTAAATAACAAATAAAATGAGTACAAAAAATTTAATTAAAAAAATGATCTACAACTTTTGAAGTCTTTTTTACCAGACAAAAATTAAGAAACTAAAGTTAAACAATTACTTGGCGTGCAATGAATCAAGAGCAAAGATCGGAAGTCCGGACTTAAAAACATAGAACCACGAAGTTGACAGCGGTCTTGCAACATGTTGCAAGTGGCAGTCGGATTGACTCGAGCCGCTGGAAGCTCGAACCCCGTTCTCGAGTTCGGATTTAACTTTCAGCGCGCTTTCGGCCGACTTCAGTGTTCGTTTGGTTAGCGGAAAGCGCGGTTTGCCGTTCGATTCAGTGGCAAACGCTCCAGTGTTTTTAGCGTATTTCATCCGAAGGATTGCCGCAGATCTGGCAGATAAGTTGTGACGCCTGCGAACTTGGCCACAAATCAGGGCCTAATCCTGGGTTGCCGGCCTAATTGAATTCGGGCGAGTTAATTGGCAGCCAAAGTGTTGCCGACGTAATGATGCTGCCATTCATCTGGCATTTAATTTAATTCTGTTCCGCCGATCGCTTAGCTGTGCAAAGCCTCTAATATTTGATTAGTGCGCGTTACCAAAAAGTAAAACAGAAGACGGGAAAATCAACAGAAAGTACGGTTCATTTGCTAAATACACGGGACCCAGCCGAATTTTCCCACTCAACTCGTGTGTGTTCATCTGTATATGAATGTGTGTATCTGTGTGTGTGTGTGTGCTCAGTGAGTGAGAATGTGTAACGAATTTCATTTATTGGCAGCCAGCAACTGATTTGAATATTCACACACACACGCCAGGATCTCCTCCACTGCCAAAATACTACTGTACTAGACCAGATTGTGGCTTCTGTAGGCCAGTGTGTGTGCAGCATGATTTATTGGTCCTGCAGCAGGCGTGATGTAAAGTGACAATTTCTGGTAATTTTCGATTTACATGCCGCTGTGCATAGGGTAAGTTTGAAGGAAGGTCCCTGAATTTTATTTACAATGTTTAGATTGCATTACCTGGAATTAATGTAATGCGTAAATTTGATTGTCCTTGTAATGGAGGAAATGGCGGAAAGTGTTATTTTGCATACTTCATTTCATATTGCTTAAATTCTGAAATATAAATGAAGGTTTTATTAAAAGATCTATTCATAAATATTTTTATTTAGTTTCGGCTTAAGTGCTTTACGTTTTAAGGAAGCAATCAATCGCTTAAATGACTCTGTGTTAATCGAGAAGATTTTTATTTATTTTTCCCTTCAAAAGCCACGCGTGAGTCTTAGCCACATGAGAAGTTACCTCCGTTTTGCTATTAGCTTACACCTGCTCAAATGACTTAGCAATGAGAAACCGCGAAGAACATATCATATCGCTTCTGCTTCCGCCCTTAAAAGGTTTCTATTTAAAGTGCTTTCCACAAAAAAGTTATTTTCTAGAAACTTAAGAACATTCAAATAAATCAATGAGTAATTACACCCAGCGAATCGATTTCCTATTCATTTCCTCTGGAGCATAAATTAGCGCCCATAAATATCGCGACATTAAGGAAATTTTATTGGTCTCGGACGGCCGAGGATGATATTAATGGCAGCCATTAATATTTAATCTTCGACAACAGGTTTTGCCAGCGTTGAGAGCGAAAAGTATTAAAAAATATATAAAACCATCCATCCAATTATTTGGCAGAAGGCGAATCGAAAAGTTTTGCCAAACTGCACCTGTGTCTAAGGACTTTTAATAAAATCTCCCGAAGAAGTGGTGAACTCAACAAAGCCATTCGTCATGCTCAAGAAACTCGAAGGTTTCGACTTCAGGGATTTTTCCCCCTTTTATTTTTTTGCTGGTCAGCCAACCAGTTTGGCAACATAATTATGCAGCCAGGCATGCAGCTGAGGACACAGTCGCCGGTCGCCAAAAGGGTTGAAAGAACCCTTTCTTCGCTTTTTATGCACACTTTAATTTGGGTCACTTGCGGCCGAAGCAGATTGTAATTAAAATATGAAATTTCCATGCAGGCATTCAAAATTTCACTTTTCATCTTAATCATAATAATCGCAAAAAAAAAAAAATTGAATTTATAATGGAACAAAGCCGAAAGAATTTTCGCTTTCGCGACGGCCTTGGCGGGTTAAAGAGTCCTGGCTGGTTGAAATTATCGTCATCAGCCGCAGGATTCCTAACCACCATCATTATAGGCTGCCGGTCTGCTTTGCATAATTTCATACATAAACTCTCGTTTTTTGTGCGCATAATCCGCAGCTTTGATGACAACAAAATAGAAAAAAAAGCGCCGGTGAAAAGTGTCATGCCACACACTCCAAAAAGTTGGTCTGCTTAATGCTCGAAAAATGAAGCGTTGAAAAGTTGGTCGCGTTACGCATCCGCCGTGTTGTGCCCCAAGTGGCGAGGATTATGGACGAGCGCTCATATAGTTAATGACATGCAGCTGCTGTTTTACTTGCGGTTTCTGCCTAACGCCCCGAGTTCTCGGTGAATTCACCATTCCTGCTTCCGCGGACAAACTTATGAATTTTAAGGTGATTTCCATGTCGAAAGGACCAAGTTCACGAAACTTTGGAGCGGGAATCCAGCGGGAATGGGGACCCCTTTCGGCATGTCACATCGGGAAGTTGTCAGCAAAGGGTTGATCGCATCATAAATCAAACGAACTGTTAGCCCGGGTCGCAATCAAAATCATTCTGCGGTCTCCAGCATTTGTTCCTTCGAAATGGTAATTAATCATCGAAAGTAATTGGTTTTCTGTTTTGATTTGACATTTGAAAAATTGCAGCTGTGACAATTCAATCCCAGTTCCGTTTATTTGCGTTTCCTCCACTTTGGCGATTTTTTACGCACGATGTTGCAAAACAAATGCAAAAGTTTGTTTTCTTTTTTTTTGCCGAAGTGAAACGGTGACCTATGCAAATGTTTGAATGCAAATTAAATACAAACGAACGCATAAATGCGGCTTAAAAATATATTTTCCCGCAATATAGGCGAACAATGGGATTAACTTGAAAAAGTTCGAGAGTACCCTCGAAGTAAATGTTTGCTGCGCGGATATTGATTGGCTAACAAGCCAATATTGCAGTAACTCTGGCTTTAATGGAATTATGTCGCTAATTTAATGCGTACAAATTGAATACTTTTCTGTAACAGTCACTGAGTTCAACCGTTTATGAAACTTTTCAAACAATCCAAATAAACTCAGAAATTAAACAAAGACGTAAATAAAGTTTCTTAAGAACAGCCGCGATGTTGGCACTTAAAACTTCTCAAATGCAAATAATACCCCAGCGAATTCTTTGACAATAAAAAATTATTAAAAAAGCGTTAAAGTCTTTAAAGAGAATTATGCCCTACAGAAGCAGACATAAACCCAACTTTGTGCTTCTTTTTTGGTGGCACTTCAAAAGGAATAAAACGAAGGCACAAAAATATCCACACAAAAGTACACACAAGTTCTCAAGCCTGAAAGTGCCTCTCGTGGTTCGTATTTGTGTTTTGTTTCAGCTTTTCGGGCGATATGAGCAGCACTGCTAACTCAATATCACAATTTATGTTATTTTTTTCAAGTGGCGTCGTCGTGAACAGAAGCACCGCTCAACGCCTGTGTTTGTTTTTATACTGGAGTTTATTTGGCATTTTTATGATCATGGTAAAGGGGAAGAATTAAAGTGCTGTTGATTGCAATGCGATTCGAAAAACAAATAATGAATTAAGATGGACGTATATTTATTTCGAAAAGAAATAAAGTGTATCTTGAAAAAGTGTATATCAAACAAATATTGAAAAGCAAAAATGGAGTATTCCTTTCAATTTGCTTTGGCAGTAATTCATCATTTCTATGACGACAAAAAACACTTTGAATAAATTCTTTTACACCGAATATCTTTGAAAGCTTCACATTCTTTATTTTTTTTACCGCCACGTGCTTCTTATATTTTACTTCTCAATTAAATACCACTTAGCCCGTCATGAATGCGCATTTTTGCTGCTGCTGCACATAAATATTTATGCGGGACTTAATCAAAGGGAAAACATGGCATTGAGCTCTAAGCCAGCTTTGGTCCTTTTAGCCTCCAGACTCTTTTCATTGCGCCTGTTCTATTTGCAGCAGATCAACTCATTTCTGTTTATTTAAACATTAAATGTGCTTACATTTGATTAGCAGGCCGTGCTTAATTCCATATCAATGTGCTTTGCCAGATCTCTCTGGTAAAAAGCCATATAAAATTTATGTGTTTGTCTTCCTTTTAATTTGTTTTCATTTTTGTTTATTTTTTTTTCGGCTTGTGTAATTTTCCCTTTTTCGGTTTGAGCTCATTACAATTTCTTTTGAGTTTGGGTAGATTTCTTTTATGTGGGCAGTCACATTAAAATGCATGAAATGCGCAATTAAAAACGAGGACAAAGTCCCTTTGTAGATGGCAACCAGATACAATTTCCTTTTAATTAAATATTTAAAGGCGTTTCATATTTAAGTACATATCGATGCTTAATTAAAAGCACTCTGTGTGTTCAGTACATTACGCAAAAAATGGTTTTACCATTTGATCAGAGGGGGGTACTTGTGATTTATTTTTGTGTATCTTAAAAGCAAACAGATTGAAGAGTTTGCCACTGGGATTTCTGCTGTCGGGGCTTTTCGAAACACTCAGCCATGACAAGTGGCACTGAACTGTTGTCAGCTCGTTGTCCAAATGACAAATGGGTGCATTTGCCTTTTGTCAGTCGGCGGAGGCATCGAATCCAGCATCGATATGGCAAAGTCGCGACGCCGGGCAATAAAAATAAACTGTTTCAGCGGCGAATTCGAAAACAAATCGCTTTCCTCCCGCTCCTTGGGACTTGGCCACACACGAAGCGATGAGCAGTCGAGTGTGAAAGTATGCGAATAACTTGGCATATTTATTTATATTCCGCGACCCGCCAAAAATTGTCAACATGGATCAATACGATGCCAACTTTCATCTGGCTTTGTCATTGGGTTGTAGCCCGGTTATGTAACCGTTGGCAGATAAACATAAAAACAATGTATTGTGGCTTAAAGTATCATATTCTCCCCATATTCAAAATATTATGGGGATTATCGCCAGGAATCGTGTGAGCGTGTGGTGGGGGAATAAACAAGCCGACAAATCAGGCACTGAGAAATTGTGTTTCCAGTTCATTTGGCTTGCTGCGTCCCTCGTTTGCCGGCAATGAGGTTAAATGGTTCAGGAACATAACAATCGCAGACATGATTGAGCCATTAAAGTGGGTGTAGATGGATGAGCGCGAAAGGTTAAGCTATACCTCCTTTAAAGTTTTTCATATGCATTTTAATCCTAAAAAATTGTAGCGTGTAACGAAGGTATTCTGTGGTGAGTTCTAGGATCTGTCCTTGCGGGTGCACACTATAGGGTCCGGCTCTCGCTCGTCTGCTTTGGGGGTGGAGGTCTTGCTTAGACAAATCCGCACACTAGCTACATATTATTATTTTTAAGACCAGAATTGAGTGTGCTGACGAAAATAAATGCGAGATATCAAAATCAGAAGAGAAATAGATAAAATTCAAAAAAAACAAGAGATAGAAAAGATCGAGAAAAGTTAGAATCAGCGATGCCACAGATGTTGTCGTGGTCGCGAAATGCCCACCCTACCTATGATCACCATCCTTCAGAGCTAAACTCCGGTGACCCCTAATACCCTACGATTGTGGAAGCATCAGCCGAGTTAAAAAAACGTGAACTACTCGAAATTCATTTCAAATACAATTTAATTAATAGTTATACAAGAATTCATTATTGTTATTTGCTAACAGGTAGATACTACAAATTTTATATAAATATAATAAATGATATACAGGCGATAAAAATACTATTTAGATACTTAAATATTTAAATGATGTTATCCTCATAAATTAAAGTAGTTATAATGTTCGTATATATTTAAAAAGATAAGAAATAAGAAAAATATAG